ACTATTGCTGATCAGTCAAGTTTATATGTAAACCAGTCTCTGCGTCTTAAAGCTAGCTTCATGATATTTGGCTAAGATTAGTCTCGGATCCGACTTCTACATATGATATAGCTGAACTTTTGTTAAGTAAACATTTCAAGATGTTATATCAAGTTCAGCCTTAGTTTGCTCCTAACGTATAAACTAAATCCCAGCAATATCGGAATTAGGAGTTTCTTTTATGCAAAACTGTTTTCAGGCCGGAAATAAAGTGTTTCCTTAACAAAAGCAAAAGTCAAATCTGCTTCTTCTGTTTTCCGTTGTGGTTTGAGATGTGAAAAATGCCCTCAAGATCGGCCCAAAGAAATCATTAAGCCAAAAATATAATACTAGTATATGTATATAAGCTGTAGAATTGGGCATCTAGAATTTCTAATTTAGCGCAAATCGGCAAATGTTCTGCTCAGCGAGCGAACACTGTATTTATTGATGTATTTCTGTTAATGCCATGTTTGTACTTGCTTTGTACTCTACGGGTTGGAAGTGCATACAAATAGATTCGGACTTGGCCAAACGGACAGAGAGTTTGACATTTGTGTGTGTGTGTGTGCGTGTGTGTGTGTGCATGTTTGTGGGATGCGTGTGCGTGTAGCATTTTGGCTTCGACTTGGAAGTTTTGCTGCAGCTTTGGGCATTTCATTCAAAGTAAATATTTACATGCGAGTGTGTGTGTGTGTGTGTGTGTGTGTGCATTGCATTGCCGGGCAAGGCATAGCCGCTGTCGCCGCTGCGTTCGTCGTTTGTTTATGCATTGTTTGTATGCATATATGTATGTATGTACATATGTATGCATGTATGCAAGCTGTGCATGTGGCGTCGTTGGGATACCTACAATGCATACACACACGCACACATGCACACAAAGATACGTACAAGAGAATCCATATCAGCACGCCACAGCAACAACAACAATTATGCCCTGCCAAACGTATGAAAGTTCAAGCACACACACACTAGCAAACGCATGCACAGAGTTGCCATATAAAGGCAAACAAACGTGCGGCGACGGCGACGTGCAGCGAAGGCGACGACGGCGAATGCCCAGCCGGGCCATGCCAGGCCAGGCCAGGCCAGCCAGTCAGCCCAGGCCGAGTCGGCAGAGTCGAGCCAGACAGTCTGTCGCCAGAAAAATCTACACACAACAACAGCAACACACACAGCAGCAGCAGCAACAACAGCAGCAGCAGCAACAACAACAACAACGGCGACAAGAGCACAAGCCGAAAAACGAGGGCATGGGCGGGCTGTATTTGTGGGAGGGGTCGGCGCGCGGGCGATGGCGATGGCGTTGGCGATGACGGCGTTGTTCAAGTCGTTTGCGTCGCCGTTGGCGTCGCAGTTGGCAGTGCGCAGCGCTGTATCTGGTTGAGAAATCGTTTCAATGCGCAGAGCAAAGCAAAGCGAAGCCAAAGCCAAAGCAAAAGCGAGGCAGAATTCCATTTAGATTATATTCTTTTTGTTTTTTGTTTTTTTTTTTGTTTTTTTGTTGTTGTTGGCGCTTTTGACGAGCGGGCAACGTGTTGTGCGGCAGCTTGGTAGGTGTTACAATACATAATACATAATACACACACACACACTCAGGCTCATGTGCATATATGCAGCGCTGCCAATGCGGACGACAACGACGCGCATTGCCAGACCGTTCGGCGCGCACAGCCGTCACATAACGTCATCGCCAGCATAGTGTAGGGGGGGGGCGGAGCAGCGGGGCATTGGCGTGCACCACGGGGGGTGCTTAATGTTTAGGCTGCTTATGCTGTGCCACACACATTTACACACACACACACCCGCACACACTGTGTGTGCTGTGCGCGCACCACCTAACACCGCCCAACCCCCCTAACCCCTTTGGCTCTGACGCCCCTGGCCGCTGAGCTGCTTGTTTTAGGTTTGACGACGCTGCGACTCGAGTACGAATTTTATCGCCCACGATTTGTGTTGTTTGTTTGTTTGTTTGTTTTTGATACCCTACCCTAGCCACTAATACACAAACAACAACTTGCATTCGCACACACACACACACACATACGCACACATATTGCACATGGGCCACTTAAGTGCAGGCGCAGCAGTAACAAGATCAGGGGCGGGGGGGTAACGGGGCAGGGTTGTCGCTTTGCTTTCGACTAGCTAACTAACTAACGTGCCAGCCAGATGCGTGTGTGTTTGCTCACCCACAGCACACACAACACCCGCGATATCGCCACCAACACACACCCCCCCCCCCCCCCTGACTCTTATCGTTTAACAACGCGCTATCCCCATAGACAAACAGTCGCGTCCAAGTTTCCAATCGAATGCCCAAGCATTTTAACAAAATGCAATTCGATTTCGATATTACGCATGTTTATACAGTAGTCGCTCGTTAAAACATTCATATATTGAAAATCTAAGATAGGTAAAGTTTATGCCTTAAGTTATATGTTAAAGTTAAGAGGTTATGACTGTTCTGAAAAAGAGTTCAAAATTCGTTTCGAAAATTTCCCAAAGGAAAAATTACTTTTTTTTCGAAAAGTAATTTCGGAAAAAAAAACACTTCTTTTCAAAAAACGGAAAAGATTATCAAAAATTCATTTTGGAAATATCCCAAAAAAAAATTATTATTTTTTCACAAAAAATAAAGAATTCATTTGGGAAAAAAATTATAAAAGTTTATTTTGGAAATTTCCAAACAAAACAAAAAAACAAATTGTTTTTCACAAAAAAATGAAACAAAGTAATTTGGAAAAAAAGTAATTAATTTAAATTAATTTCAGGAAATTCAATAAAATTAATTTGGGGATAGAAAAAAAGTCATTTCAAAAGAAAAAGAAATTTAAAATATTTAATTTCGAGATTTAAAAAATAAAAACTTTTGAAACTTCATAAAATTGATCAATAAAAGTTGTTCAATGTAATGTAAATTATGTTCATAAATTTTGCGCTTTTCTCTCATGGGAAACCATAGAAATATATCGTTATATATACATATAGATATATATCTTAATACTGCTTAAGATATCTGAACCTTGACAGTCCAAAGTGATTCGAACTCTTGTTTTTAGTGTAATATTGGATCGTCGCACAATTATATATATCATATCATATCATAAATATATATAGGTATTGTCATTAACGTCATTAACGTTTTTCAACACTGTCAAATATAACCTACATAGCGTTAACTACTTTTACCATTTCTACAATAAATTTGATTGCCATTCAACGAATTTTTTCGAAATTTCATGTATTGTTCCTTATTATTATGATTTTTTATTTATTTATTTTTTTTGTACTTCCCAATAGAATTTTTCACGCGTTTTACAATTTAGACACTTTGAGCTTAATTTAATTTATTTATTTTTAAAGTTAAATCATCGCGAAATGATATCATAGTTAGACGCTGGAAGTCCCTAGTTGTAAGTTCGCAAATACAGTGGTCGCTCGCTAATTGGAACTTGAAGAAATGTGAATTTAATTCAAGATTCTTAATTGTTGAGCATATTATTTAGAAATATTATTATGTATTTTTTACAAACATTTATATTTATATATCAAAATAATGGCCAAGATTTTTGATTCAATTTTTAAAAATCCAATTCCACTTCAGCTCTACTTTTGTAATATCAAAAAACCATTTAAATTACAAAATGTATAATAATTAATAATATGCATAAATAAACACTATTTCATGGAATATTTCTACATTTTAGTTTAAAAATGAATATAATAAATATATATGTATAAATAAACATGACAAAGTTTCCTTCAAATAATGTGACCTTCCAGGCCGCAGGTTTCAATTTGCGAGCGACCACTGTAGCAGACACTGACATTCAAATCTGGATCATATGCATAATATAATTTCACTTTAATTGCATTTCCTGCTTAGCAAGAAGCTCTGATTTGCGTGAGGAAGACGATGGGAGGAGGGGGTGGGGGAAGGGGGGGTGCAAGAACAACCGCAAAGGAGCTGTCAAAGCTGCGACTGAAATGCGGTTAACCCTTTCCAGGATAGCGTATACGACAAACGAGAGAAACCTGGAAGCCGTCTCGCGGCGAGTCCGGCGAGTCGCTCGGAGTTGGGAATCGGGTCGCCTCTCGGGCAGCCACAGTCAACTGTACTAAAGATAGAAGTGAGCATGAACACGTTCTCACTTACACATACGCAAACGCTCGCACACACACACACACACACACACAGAGAGCAGGCAAGCAAACATACAGGAAACGTGGACGCCAAAAAAACAAAATAAAGGCACAGAAAATGTTAAGGGACGAGCGTGCGGCGCTGAAGCGGGGCGGACGCTGCATAAGTGCATCATGATGTGGTCTGAAACCCAACACTGTTGCCTGGCTGCGAATATTAAAATACCCACTTAAGACCAACAACAACGAACAGAAACAACAACAATCGTAAGTAGTACCCTTACACACACACACACGCGCACACACACACAGCGCGCTGCCAGATCAACTACAGCCAGGAGGCAGCCAGACATTGGCGCCCTTAGCACTTGGTTTGTGCTCTTGAGGCTAAGAATATCTTTGAGTTGAGTGAGACGAGGGCAAGAGCGCGGGCGCTGCCACGTCTGGCGCTCAAGTAGCTAGCCAGGCAACAAGATGATGAAGAAGCAGTAGAACCTTAACCAGATCGAACAATTCACTTGTTTTAATGGTCATTTCCTTTGTTGCTGCTTGCACTGCCTGCTGTGACTAAACTAAGAGTGCATAAATAACAAAAACGAATAAAGCGCTTTATAAATAACACACTCCAAAATGTTTGACAAAACTGCAGTCAATTTATGCTTTCAAATCAAATGACGCGCCTAAACTCACAAACAGTGTGTACACATGTGGGCAAATGAAACTCCAAAATGCGCAACGTGAACGCATAAATGCGCTACGATATGCGCATGCTGAAGCTATCGATAGCAATCGCTAACACTTATCGATAAGCTGGCCAATTTTCCACACACTGTCCTCGCTATTAGTGTGTGCGTGTGTGTGTGTGAACGCGTTGATTAACTAGAAAATACTTCAAAAAACCAAATAAAAACCACCCACAAAATGTCAACAATTTAAATTTTGTTGCATTTTGCCATAGACAGGTGCTGAGTGAGCGAGCGAGAATAGCAGGCAGCAGCAATAACAAACAAGCAACAATAACAATAGCAGGCAGCTGCTGCTAGAAGGCATTAAAACAACAACAAAGACAAACACACGCACACACACACACACACACACACACAAGCGCACACAATCAAAGGAAAAACAAATACAAAGGCAGCTTTTCCAGAAATTGGGTCGCGTTGTTTTTTTTTCTGTTCTTAGGTTTTTGTTTTTGGCATTTGGCATTTGTTATGGCAACTTTGGGCACATGTTTCGGTTAGTTTCCTGTCTCTTGGGCAATATTTTTGCATGAAAATTGTGTTGTTTTAATCCAAATAATGATTGCATATTCTTTCTTGTGTTCTTCTTTTGCAGCCTGAATTGCGGGTGTGCCCAGTAGCTAAAGTGACCCCGCTCCCTCCAGTACAGCAACACCAGCAGCAGGAGCAGCAGCGGCAGCAATGAGCGTCGTTGGCAAACAACTGAATCCCGTGCAATCAAACTCTGCCGCTGCCGCGTCCTCAACGGCGGCTGCCGCCGCGGCGGGCAGCAGCAGCGAGGCCAACAATGCAAATGCTGCCGCAGGAGTTGTCGCCGCCGCCGCTGGCGATGCCAAGCGCAGGGAGGAATCGAATGTAACGCCCGAGGATGTGCTGCGTCTGAATAAAATAACGGATGACTATCTGTGCTCGGCAAATGCCAATGTGTTCGAAATTGACTTTACGCGCTTCAAGATACGCGACCTGGAGAGCGGCGCCGTTCTCTTTGAGATAGCCAAGCCGCCCAGCGAGCAGTTCCCCGACGGCCTCTCCGTCGAGGACACCATGCTAGCCGCCGCCGAGGATCTAACGCTCGATGACACTGCCGATCCCAATGCCGGGCGCTATGTGCGCTATCAATTCACGCCGGCGTTCCTTAACCTCAAGACAGTGGGCGCCACGTAAGCCAAGATATAGAAAAAAAAACTTAATTAGGAGTACAGTGAAAGCTCGCTGAGGTGATCAATTTCTATGCCCTTAACCCATTGAGAAGGCGTAAAAGGCATCAAGTATTAAGTATATACAATCTATGAACCATATCCCTCTGTGTTTACTATTTGCATCGATAACGATAACGACTAGCATCGATAAATATCGATTATGTGATCGGATCGGACTATAAGCACCGAAGATAATCACGAATGCGTTTGCCTTAGAAAGTGTGAGGCAGAGGAAAGAATTCGTCTGCCTTCAGAGAGAGCTTTCACTGTATATTCGATTTGTTTCCTAATTGAATATTCCAGATAATATATATATATATTTGTTTTCAGGGTGGAGTTCACTGTGGGCAGCCAGCCAGTGAATAATTTTCGCATGATTGAGCGACACTTTTTCCGCGATCGCTTGCTTAAGACATTCGACTTTGAGTTCGGCTATTGCATTCCATATTCGAAGAATACGTGCGAGCACATCTACGAGTTTCCTAATCTACCACCAGATCTGGGTGAGTAATGCCTTCCCAAGCCCCACCCAATTCAATATAAAACTGCAACTGCTGCCAGCTGGCGGCGGGTCAAGGCCATGTGCACGCGCGCACAGTGCGCATTCGATATGATGAACAGGCTCTCGAAATGGCTAACAGTTGACGAGCAGAAAATAGCCCGAGCACAAATATGATTGATTTTCAGTTAAAGTCACGCACTTTTTGGCCAATTCAACATAGCGAATGCGCACTGTATCTGAGTAGGTCACAGCGTTATTAATTTATACTCGGTTTTTGTCGCCTTTCCAGTTGCTGAAATGATATCAAGTCCCTTTGAGACGCGCTCGGACAGCTTTTACTTTGTGGAAAATCGACTCGTGATGCACAACAAGGCGGACTACGCCTACGACGGCGGGATTATTGTTTAACTACGGAGAGCAGCAGCTAAACTATGACTAAAAACTAGAGCAAAACTAAACTAAAACTAAATTAAAAAGCAGACTCACACACACACACACACACGCGCAGACACACACGCAGACACAAGACAACACGCACATGAAGCGAAAACCAAAGCAAGCAACAAAAACAAAACAATATAACTAAAGGAATAAAAACCATTTTAGCCTTAGCACCATGTTTTACCCACCATTCCTGTTTAATGTATTTATTATGATAAACAAATACACACACACACACATGCGCGCACACGCACACATCCATACACACACGCACACACGCAAACTGTGTTCATTTATAAGCAAACTGTGTAAAAGAACAAACAAATGTTTGACTTAAAAACGAAAACAATTTAATTTATAAGTGCAATGTGATTTTCTTGCAACACACCTCCCTACCAAGCAACCCCCAACTAATTTAACTAATTTGTATTTATTTAATTGTACTTTAAGCCACACACACACACGTACATACATATTTGAAATACATATACACATCAAGCAGGCTACGTTTTTCGATGCTTTTTTAGTTATTAACTCTTCAATTTTGTTTTATGTGTATAGATATTTTAAAAAGCCGTCTTTACCACATAAATTCAAATATGAGAAAGAAAATTAAATTTACATTTGAAATTCACATGTGTTGCTTTATTTAGAACCCGGACACACCCCGCTGGGGGGAAAGGGAGAACTTGAACTCATTTAGATTCTTTTCAATTCGTTCTACATATTGCAATCTCGCTCTGATTAGTGTTGACATAAGAATTTAGGAACTTGTTTCAGAAAGTTTTGTTTTCTAAGGCTCGTTAAGGAACTGTGTGACTATTTCGATGAACTTGTGCGGCTCCTCCAGATGCACCAAATGGCCCGTGTCCAGCCAATGCAGGCTGGCATTGGGAAAGAATTTCAGCACCTCAGGCCAATCGTCGGGACTAAAATTGAGAGACAGAGAGAGAGAGAGAGAGAGACGGAGAGAAATTCATCTCACTATTATTGGATCGTATTAAACCTACTTCATATATGGCGAGTGGGTGCCACAGATAAAGGTGGTGGGTCCCGTGAATGCCGGCAGATTGGCTATATGTGCACCGTAATTTGAAAAGCCAGGCAGGCTGTTGTGCAAGATATCTACATTGCAGGCCCAGTAAAATCTGTAAGAGTTCGTACTATTGAGCAATGCTGCCAATTGACACACGTAGTTTTTGACATACTCGCCGGTTTGTGGTCTCTTTCTTAGATTCAATAAAATAAAATCAACCGAGTCGCTGCCAACGGTCTGTAGGAGCGCCTCCTTGGCAGCCTGGCGGCCCTTTGACAATGACAAATCCGCGGGCAGCGAAACATTCTTCATGGCACTAAAAATACTTCCCATTTCGCCGATTGTCCCGGGAATGGATACAGGCGAAATATCCACAACAATTAACCGTTCCGATAGTTGAGGCTGCAAGCAAGAAGAAACGAAAAATCAGTCAGTAAAACGTAAGGTAAGTCGCCATTTCTCTCCCCCTATCTTTGGAGATCATTATACAGACATTATTCAGCGCAAAGTGCATGGCAGCGCGTCCGCCCATGCTGTGTCCCATCAGACAGGCTTTGGGTATTGACTTGGCCTGCGTGAAGGCAACCAAATCCGCCGTCATGCCGTGCGAGTCGTGCGTATCCGCGTGCGGACTGTCACCGTGATTACGCAAATCCACCGTATAGACCTGTAATTGTGTACATATTAAGGCTACGCATTCCGCAAATATTTGGATGTTTACTTGCTTACGCGACGGTTGGTCTGCTTGGCCAGAGCTCTGCTCACGCTGCGCCAGTTCTGCTTGGAGCCAAACAAGCCGTGCATTGTGATAAGGGGGGATCGGCTGGCATCGGGTGTGGGTCCATCGAATTGATCGTGGCTCATAGCCAAGGCAGGGACATTCGCATAATGCCGACTCTGCTGTTCCACACAGCGGTTGCATCCGGCAGCTGCTGGGTACGGGCGAACTAGGCATTTCAGATTGAGTTTGGCAGCGTGAAGCGCTTGAAAACAACGTAACGTTCCGTTCAACAGCTGCATTTCGCTAGAGTTGCAAAACGGTTATCGATTGTGCGAATTGTTACCTATCCACAAATGCATAAGCATCGATAACTTAAATAGTCATTGACAGGCACCACCAATTGATTTTGTATTTGTTAAGTGCACACAATTCAAATATAGAAACAAAACAAAAAACCACTTTGATTGACATAACACAGCTTGCGACACACAAAAGTTTTAATAAAAACAAAAATTTATGTCTATAATCAGGCAATGTAGAAGTAGACTAGCTCCAATATTTGTTAACCTGAAAGCATTTAGCATTGGTCGTTAAATAAATGAATATATGCATTTAAATAAATAAGCAGAAATGGCCGTTTAATGGCAAATTAAAAATGCAACTCTCATCGGCAGTCAGCATTAACTATCGATAGTGGCTGAAAAGTCAAACAGGCGAGCAAGCGATAGTACCATCGAGCGCAGCTCTAGGCAATGTCGCTCAGCCCTAATATTTTCTGCAGTTGCGGCGGCATCGTTTGTGACAAAAGAATTTCTGCTTAAAAAGAGTCGCACGCTAATATCAATAAATTTAATAAAACTCAATAAGGAACAGGTAAAAGCTTTAAATAAGCGCCAGCAATATTGCAAACCAAGCTGCAATCTTTTAACGGCGATAGCAAACCCAGCGGGCCACGCAGGAAAAGCAAAGGGAGAAATTGACGAAAGCAATCGACGGCGCACACATACGCACATAAAACACAGAGGCACGTTCACGCATACAACTTTACACGAAGCCGGAGCCGGAGCCTGCTGATAGATATTCTTTTTATTTGGCCTGGACACGCCGACGAGCGACAGAGGAAGTGATAGGGAAGGGAGGAGCGACGCCTGCAACTGCGGCAATTGCGTTTAGGTGAGCAACAACAACAAACTGTGCACATTTGCATTACAACCAACAATTGATATATATATATTTTCAAGTATTCTATTTTTCCCCTCCAACACTACGTAAGTGCAAAAAAAAAAAGAAAAAGAAAAGTGGTTTACACACATCAAAAAATAACAAAAAAGTATAATTAAATCAAAAGACTAAATGTATAACGCTTCAACAAATCGTATAAGACTTGTGACTTCTGTGAAAAAGTTGTGCTTGAAAATCGGAAAGCTCCGTCTCTCTACTGTCTTTCGCTGAGAGAGTAAAACCTGCGATGCGATTCAGTTCAGTTTCAATTGTTTAAATGTTTTCAACAACAACTTTATCGGTCGCGAAAAGTGCGAAACAAAAAATGTACAAAAAAATACCGCAGAACCAAATAATAAAAAAAAAATACCAACAACACTAAAAACGTATATGAGATGTCGAATGTCATATACCAGTAACCTGTGTGTGTGTGCGTATATATACTAAATATATATCTATATATATATATTTATATTTATATATGTGTGTGTTTGTGTTTCTTGTATTTATTTGTAGCCCTGAGACATGAGCAAACGTAGTTCTTGTATTATTCAGATTCGTATAACAAGTATAACAATTGTTATATTCAGTAAATTATTGCTCACTCTCTGTTGTCTTTTGTTCGCGTAAAGTCGATATACGAGTTTAAAGTAAACAATCACAACACACACATAATAAAAAAACTATATAAATAAACTATATAAAAATTAAAAGTACAATTATGAAGGTAAGAATTCAACAAAGTGAACAGAAAACTTAACGTTCAAAACTTTTCTTTCCCCCCATCAAAAAACAAAAAACCTTTAAGTGAAAAAAAAATGCACAGTCGACACACAAATTGCATATTTGGAACCCAAGTCAAGAAGAAGAACATAGGAAATTGTACATACATACATATATGAAATATGTACCGTTAACCCATTAAGCCCCCGTACTTGACCTTGCATTGGCACAATTCTCACTACAACCAGTGTTGCCAAATGCCGCCTCAAATAAAGTAGCTAAAACCCATGATATAAATAGCTAAATACAGCTGAATTAGCACAAATTTTCTATAGATAGGATTTCCAGTACGTACTTCTCACTGAGATGCCAAAAAAAAAAAGCTAAATCCATTTAAAAACTCAACTTTTTCCCGCTGACGTCCCTCAAAATAGCCAAATTTAACTAGAAAAATGGTTGAACTAGCATTACTCTTTATTTTCTCTTTTGCCTTAATTTGCAAAAATTTTAGAGATCTTCGAGTTTAGGCTAAACATTTTTTCGTTAGGTTCTTTAATTGCGCTGTTGGGTTTTATGTTGATAACCAAGTTCCTGTCATATTCCATTTATCTGTTGCCTTCGCTAGATTAGTTTCATGGGGTTGTGCGCAATCGAACGTGGTTCATTGTACGTTGATATCGTATCGTATGAAATCATACTAAGAAATCATTTCAAATTTGCAAATTATTTTCAATTGCAAAAAGTAACATTTGGCAATTCCGTAAAAGGGCCACCACCATGAACAAAATCTTATAAAAAATATGCTTAAATCAGTTTATTTTAACGTACTGACAGCCCATCTAAATGTCAATCTGGCTGTCAAATAGAATTTCTAGTTGGCTTTGTCACTTTTTGGGAACTTGTTTGTGTTTTATTTTGTTTTGTACTCTCTCATCCCCGAATTGATCTTTTAATAGCAATTGAATGCAACTAAATGCTATGAGAGCCAACCCATGAATTTCATTATAACCTATATATATATATATATATATATATATATATATATAATATCAGTGGATTTTGCCCCATTTTGTCCGTTTTACCATTTCTTCTCGGCGAAGTAGGTTTTGTGCATTCAGTGAATCATGTTTTAAATATGTATTTAGATATTTGAATATGAGTAAAGTCGATCGGAGGAAAAGGAAGAGCCGCAGTCCCTCTTCATTAGTGTGTTCGATTTTCCACAATAGGCGAATATTATAATCTACAATGTAGAGCTTTGAAAATAAGTTTGTATCCGCCAAACACGCATTTTCCACCAAGAAGAGTGGAATTTTCGAAATGTGTGAAATACT